AACAGATAAAGGCTAGGGATGCTGCTAAACATCCTACAAGGCAAATGCACAGGATTAGGTCTCAGAACAAAAGATTATCCAGGCCCCGGTGGTAATAGTTTTGAGGTTGAGAAATCCTGACTAGCTAAATAGGTCCTATATTCAGATGAAACACTGAAACACAGAGTTTAAGTGACATAATCCCTGGCAAAGTCTAGAACCTGGTTTTAGGATTTGTCTGGGATCCTTAAAATCATTTGGGATAGATATTGGTGGCAAGATCCTTTTATAGACTAGAACCTGAGACCCTGGAAAACTTCAATGATCTTTCCACACAAAAAAAACAACTGTAAAATTTTATTTCTGGACCTTTCCTTTGGTAGTCTGTTGAATGTTTTATAAACAGCTTACCAACCTATGTTGATCATTTCATGCAAACATGGAAAGAGTTTTTGTGTATATTTTGTTTAGATTAGTTTAAATGGTATTGAGATCTGAAAAGAATAAAACAAAGTTTTCTAAAACTAGACGACACATAATGCTATTTTTTCCTAAACACAGAGTACAAGCCATGTTTTGCAGAACACATAATATGCTTCTGAATATTCAAAAATAATTAATAACATTGATTTTTAAATAATATTTCACCAAAGTATCACCATAGTTTTCAACATAGTTTTAATTTAGTTTTTAAAGGTTGAGGTCAATATAACAACATTTTTTTTTTGGTTCATAGATTTCTTAACCAAGGTTACTAATTTTTAAATTATTGGAAGAGCAACCCACAAAAATAAACTGGTGATTTATCATCCTCACTAAGAAAAACATGATGTAATTGAAGTAATTTTCACTATTCTTGTCATTCATACAAACATAAACTACAAAGTCACATTTTACAGAAGTTGAAGACATTTCTGCTTTAAAAATGGGGACTATAATTCAAAACTGAATGCCTCATAAAAATAAAATACTACCATATCACCACATATTGGCTTTGAGTCTACTTGTCATCATAAAATAATTTGGAGACCTCTTCAGTATCCTCAATTTAATTAAGGTCTTCCTACTACAACAGTAAACATGAATTATATCTTTGCTTTTCTTCTTTTGAATTCCATTTTAAAAGCATGACATGCTTAGGAGAAAGTAAATGATTGGCTATGTCTAAATTTGTTTGCACCTGGCTTGAGTATCCTGACAATAAGCCATTGTTCTCTTACAAGGCATTGAAGAATGAATCCAGCAAGATAGGGAAAAAGAAAACCTCTATAATCCCATCACTCTAAGAGGAGATGTAAAAAACTTGCATTATATATAAGGTTCACAAATTCAAATTTTAAAATATTTTCATTGATACAGCCTACCTTTTAAAGATGGGGTGGGGTTAGAGTTCTACCAGTCAGGGTATCATTTGTCCATCTAATTGGAAAATATACCTCCTTCTTCAGACCTAAGGCATTAGTAGGATTTTAATCAAAAGATCTGGTTTTTAGTGGCCTTTGCTGATTTGCTTGCAATAGCCCAAACTAAAATCAAATTACAAATTTGCTTTCATTTATCTGCTAGCTAAACAGAAAAGGAAGTAGATTAAGTTTGCCTGTCACCACCCCTGTCTCTCTGAGGTTATCAATTCACCTTAGTCAAGCAGCCTGTCATAATTTATTATTCCAGTAGGGATTCTAGAAATATTTCAAGTGCTTTGTTCATCCCATCTATTTAAGAATATCTAAAACGCCATGAAGTGATGCAGAAAATTAAGAAGGAAAATAATAATCTAAACTGGTTTAAAGTAACGAATACCATTCATCTATTTTATTTTCATGACTTTCTTGGGTGAGATAATGTATGTCAAATTAATCATAATTACATTTACAATTATATTTTCACTAGAAATATTCAGTAAAATGTAAAAACCACAATGAAAGACATTTCTCGCAATTACTGTCATTCCCTTGTTGTGAGGTCTGACTCCCATGAAAAGTTCTTGACTAACCCCAACATCAAATTTGTCTTAGGGTTTCTTTTCAACCAGAGAATTTGTTTTATTTGGCAGGGAATGTTCAAATAGTCAATACCAAGGTTTTAAACTTGATCCCAAATTAGAATTGCACATTTAATAATTAAAAATAAAGATACAGCTATCTGAATTATTTCTAGCTCCCTATGTATATATACATTGAAAAAATATTACAATGGATATCCCTTGCAATATTTTTCTTTATCTCATATTTATAGGCAATTAGAAAGGATTCAAGTTTTACTGGGCTTCCTGTGTGTTTAGGTATTAAGTGTGGCAATTCTGTGCAAGATTAAAGTTCTTTAGGACTCAGTTTAAGAGACTACAGAGTTCTGTATCTGTGGCTAACATCTGATCCACTGTTCGCACAAGTAAACACTGCTTAGTAGTGGATGGAAACTGCTAGAAGATAATGGTCCTTTCCCAATTATCTATAACAATTCTTTCTTTAACTTTCTGGAACTCTGTCTCTTCAAAAAAAAATTATTCTATAGGTATGTCTTTACCTGGGAATGAATTCTAACTTTAACCTCCCATAGACACAACAGCTCAGAATCTGTTCTGCAGGATGATTCTAAAAGTTAATACCCATCAAATACTCCAAAGCTAGATATGTCCATCTCAGGGTAACAAATACTACAATTAGGTTTCCACGCAATTTCAGTGACAACCTTCTTTTCCTCTCCTCACATTTCTGGGATGTTTCACACTCTCATCTTCCCTGGTGCACTTCTCAGCCGTGCCCACCTGGGTAATTCTCCCTCTTTGTCTATTGCTCCTGAAGTGGTCTTTTCCCAATATATCCCATATCTCACAGCAAGTACCCTGCACGCAGTGAGGGCTTTATAGCATTTCTTACTGTAAACTCAAATGCATGCAGGGTGCTCAGGATATTGTTGATATTTGGGGATAAAAGTTGAAGGAAGAGAATGCAACTTGCAAAGTTTGGGGGAGGGAATTATATCTAAACCAATCTATGCAACATGCTGATGGTCTATTTTCAGACCAAACACATCCCTCCTCTCATGTTTCTTCTGTGAAATCTCCAAAGTGTGTCTGTGTCTATTGGAACCTGGGAACTATCAGAGTGATAACAGGCCTCTAAAACTCCATTACCTACGAAAGATAGTAATGCTACTAAAGTGAGGGAGGAGTATCTGTGTAAGACACAAAAGAAGTGGTGAGGGCGATAGCAACCTGGATAGAATATCCTAGACATAATCTTAGAAAAGCTTGAATGGAATATATTTAGAAAATTTTAATATGAAAAATTGAACTGGTCTGGTTAAGTAATGCATTAATGACAGACAGGTTGTGCCTGGCAACTGAAAGAGTCAACAGGTAACAATGTGTACCTGAGTCTACCAGTGGCCAGGGGAGAGGGGACACTGAGCCTTTCATGGGAGCATTGGTCTATTCCCCAGATTATACATATCCTCTTTGGGGACAGGAATGCATTAGCTTGCTATAGCCTATGATAGGAAATAATCACATAATTCAACCCTTTATTCGAATCTAATGTCATGGTAAGCAAAAAACTTTTAGATTGTAATTTTGGCTTCTTACATGGATTTTTTTAACAGAAGGACATCTAAATGGATATTTAGCTATTCATTAATCACATTTCTCATGAAAACCTGCTAAAATTGTTAAGTAAATCATGGTGTTATTTTCATAAAATATAGTACTATATAGCAGCAAAGATAAATGAAGGAGAGCTATTTGCAAATACATGAATAAATCCTAAAAGCAAATTAAATGATCTCACTCATATGTGGAATCTGATGAACAAAATAAACTGTTCAACAAAATAGATCCAGAGACATAGAGGCATGGAACAGACTGTGGAATATCAGAGGGAAGAGGGGAGTGGGTGGGTGGGAGGGAGAGAATAACCAAAGAACTTGTATGCATATATGCGTAACCCATGGACACCAACAGTAGGGGAGTGAAGATGTGGTTCAGGGAGATAAGGGCAAGCTAGGAGGGTCAATGGGAGGAAATATATAATATTTTCAACAATAAAGGTCCAAGAAAAACAAACACAAACTTAAATATAAGAACAAGCTATAGCAGGGTAGATGTAGTATGATATTACCACAATATTTAGTGGAACATATACACGTATGGTAAATATCATATTTGGGAGAGTGGTTACAGCACAGTGAGAAATGGAGGGAATTTGAGAGAAACACGTGATAAAGCAGAGACTTATACGACATTTTGACTGAATTGTTGACTATTTTATAACTTAACTTAGGCAATGGGTACATGTGTTAATATTTGTATTTTGAATACACGAAATGTATGTTTTTAGTAAATCAAACCAATCAACAATAGGAACGATTTTTTAAAAACCTATAGAGGAAAGTTATCATATATACATCAATGCCTGAGAGTTTGGCTAGTTTTTAACCAACTTCCCATAGTTCCTGCTTCAGCAAAACTCAGGTCAAGATCCATAAAACAACTCCCAACACCATCCTGCTTCTTCCAGGCAGTTCTCAGATGGCCTCTGTCTGGTGATCCTCAAAACCAAGAGTACATCAATAGGATGAACAGAACTAAATGTCTAATCTTGACTATGTGATGGGAAATTGGCTCTAAGTGCTAGAAGATTTTGAAGAGTAAATGTAATTTAGGCAAACATACTGGTAATGTCAACTTATGAAACTGATGCATTTCAATTCAATTTATCGTAGGTATCATCTCTCATAAAATTACACTTGGAAACACTTTAAATACATATAGCACTTTAAAATATATACATTTAAAAGCCCTCTGTCATTTATAAAATTCTCTATGCTTGGGCCTTTCTGACCCTGTTTTGTGTATTTGTGAGCTCTCTTCTGAGAGAATAGGCTACAGGTTTGTTAATGACTTCATGTTTTTATTTTTCCCACTAAAATCCCAAGTCTGGGAATTTTGGAACATGCTGCAGAGCTCTGGAATTAACCATTTAATTAATATAACCAATCCAATATAAACTAATTTATATACTTACCATTGAGAGTGCTTCTATCAATCAAATTAGTATCGACTGGCCAATAGCCTCCATCTCCATGACGACCTATGTATTGGGAAAACATATCAGAATGTCAGTGAATATACAGCATGAAAGCACAAAGGAAACAAAGCAGTCAGACAGAAATAATAAATATTTCAAAATACGCCAACAATGGAACATGATTATGCTGGCCACCTCGAAGAAAGCCCGAGGTTATTAATACCAATATACCTTGTGAGAATGTTATTTTCTGTGGAAGAAAACAAACCAACTCACAAAAATGGACTATTAAACAGGCTAAATTCAACCCCTGTTGGAAAGCTGGCCCCACCCCCCCAATATTCTTGCTAAAAAGTCACTAAAGGTACAACAGTGGTGCTAGTCTAGATGTTGAATCCCTGCACATCTTGGGACAGAAAGGTGCTCCTGCTCATGGCTTCCAGAGAGGCAAAGCCAAGTGCTCTTTGCTGCAGCAGGTTCTGTCTGCCCTGTTGTCCATGATATGACGTGGGCACGCTACCATTATTCCTTTACAAGGGACAACACACTTCATCTTACAACTGCACTTTGGTAGTCTTCGTGTTAATGTCAAGTAGGTGTCTGAAGAGAGCTACATATTAAACATGGAGAAAAGCAACACACCTGGCCTGAATATTTCTGACAAACACACCAAGAAAGAAAGAAACATTACATGATTGGAAATAGCCCCTTCTATTAAGTGTTCAATAGTTGTAAAATTAGTCCTTAACAGAACTGAGCCAGAAATTAACCAGATATAATGATTCTAATACCTTCATCTTTTCTTACATTTGTAGAACTATAATTATTTGATTAGAGTTTGTGTTCTAGATTTCTATTAGGTACATCATTTATGGAAAGACATTTGGGAATTGAATTTATATGCAAACACATACAAGAATAGAATTAATTCTCTGTTTTATTTGCTTCAGGGAGTTATTCCTGAAAGTGGTTTTAATCAGTGGATTCTGAAGTCCACTGGGGAGCCAGCTACAGTAACGGTGGTTTCCTCGCAGGCTTAGATTTTAGTTTTCTTCAAGTCCTGCTCTTGAGACCTTCATTTGCAGACCCAACACTCTTCTTACAAAGTTTTCCCAAGATCTCATTTTATTTACAAAATAGTGGTGAAGGGCTGACTTTAATTTTGTTAACAGACTATACATTCACAATTTAAAAAATTATTTTGATATCAAGTCAGCACTGAAGTTAGGATGGCAAGCTTCCAAAGCAATGCATAACTTAATGCAATCACTTCATATTCTGTTTTTAGCATAACCTGGTACATTTAAAATCTGCTGGCCAATGACTGTGGGTTTATAAAGAAGTGGAAATTAAGAAGAAGGCTCCTATTTGTGAGGAGGTGGTGGGGTTAGGGAGTGGTGAGAGAAGCAACTGAAATAAGGACCAATTATGTAAATTTCAGTGGGTTGGCTAAAATTTGGACAAACCTAACCCTTTTCCCAAACACCTTGCTTGTGTGACTCAGACACATTTGCAGTTTTCAATGAGCACAGGATAAGCTTTGCCCACTGGACATTGTAAGATCAATGTTGGAAGAAATGAAGTGAGACAGAAGTTCTGTATAAACAGTAAGATGACTTTTCTCATATCTGAAAGCAACTAGATTGCAAAGCACTCAGGCAAAAGAGATGCTAACAGCCCCATCACTTAGGCCAGTAAAGCAATAAATGATTCCTGTGGGGAGTAATCTTGATTGGCTGGAAATTGGGTATAGAGCCTGTGGAGGATTTGCCTCTCCCTCTAGCATCCCACAAATGTCTTTTTAATGAAGTTTCTCATTCTCCCAGCTAGGTTGTGGGGAGATGCAAAAAAACAAGCCCATAAGCACATCCACATATTACTTAGGCATAAAGCTCTATGGGTAGAGCACCCCTTAGATTTAGTGAGGCTATTAATTACATTGTGAATTTCAATATGTAGGAGAAAATCAGATGTCATGTGGTTCAAACTTTGAGTAAGATAAACGGACTCTCAACGTGCTTCCTAAATAAGAGGAGGCAGCTTAAAGCTTGAACTTTCTACTCACGAAATCTAGCATATTGACATTGGTGAACTTTTTATAACTAGATTAATACCATGAAAGAAAATTAAGTAACTCTTAACATGCCCAATAGAAAGTACTTTAAAGAAACTTGATATCATCAACTAACTAGATTGGATTTATGATAATTTAGAGTTCTTGCACCACTTCGGTAAGAAAATACAAAATTAGCTTCTTGTATATTGATGAGTCTGAGATCCCTTTTTGTCTAAAGATGTGAGAATCAAACATTAGTTTTGCCAAAACTGGTTTGGCTCAATGGATAGTGCATAAGCCTGCTGACTGAAAGGTCCCAGGTTCGATTCTGGTCAAGGGCATGTACCTTGGTTGTGGGCACATCCCCAGTAGGGGGTGTGCAGGAGGCAGCTGAATTGATGTTTCTCTCTCTCATTGATGTTTTTTACTCTATCCCTCTCCCTTCCTCTCTGTAAAAATCAATAAAATATATTAAAAAAATATTAGTTTTGTGTGCTATATTTCTGTTCTCTAAAATGTCTTTTAAATTCCAGGAAGGCATACTTTATGGGTAAAAAAAGTTTTTAAAAGGGATTCTCCCCTGGCTTTAAGGCAAGAATCAAAAGGTATCAATGAGGAGACACTGAGACTAAAGAGCGTGCTGTTATTGCATGGTAGTTCAAAGCACTGTTAAGGGCTTTTGGCTGTGGATTGACTATTGAATGCATTTAATTCACTTGGTTAATTTCATAAGCGCTGATTTAGGCAAACTGAGGACTAATTAAACTCTAGTACATGGTAAGTCAGTTACTGAAAGGATACATAAAAGATCCTAGAGGTCTTAATTTTATTAATGGAGCAAAAAACTGATAAAAATCCATTCAAAATATATTAACTGCCTACTGTATGCAAGGCACAGTCCTATGTCCTGAGGGAAGGGAGAGTATGCAATGATAAATTGGGTATGGATCCAGCCATGACAGTTAGAGTTGGTTTACGGTCCTATTTAGGCCTACTCATGATTAATATTAGCTAACTGCAGAGGCTTTTCATTTACTCTGACTTCGAAGATTTAAGAATAAGTTAATTCATAAATTACAATATTTTCATTGTGGTGAGTGCTATGCATGTAAAATGAAACATTAAAGTTTACATTAAATCCCTACTTCTAGCATATGTGGGCAGATGGAAAATATTTCCCATGACAAAATTTTTTTATTACCTGCTGAAACTTAATTCATTTCTACAGTCTTATTTTTTTCCGAGTGGATGTTTATAAGTTCAGGGAGGAATAAATGGAAAATTAATATGTGGAGGACATTGGCAAAAGAGGATATGGTATTTATAATGTATTCTTTAATCCATATTTCTGAGTGGGGATAACAGACGATGCCCCATAATGACACCACACGATCAATCCCAAGAGAAAAACATATGGCCCATAATCTAACTGAAATGGACAGATTTGTCACCTAACAAATGATCAATATATATCTCCTCAAGGATGCAGAGTGCTGAGAGAGCTTCTTGATCTTAGAATTACTCTTAGAAAATAATTTGGGTGATAATGAAGGAAACTGCATTGATTTTTATATCATGTATACTGGTGGATAAAGATAATCCATTAATGCCACTTGAATACAGTTTCACTGTCTAGTACACAGATCATAGTGAGATATATTTAAAGCAGATGGTTTTTCAGAGGCAGGAAAATCTAAGAGATCAATTTATCATATAGTTGGTAACTTTGCTGACTTTGAGCAAAGTCAGCAGGATATCTATAAACCAGGCAGCAAAATCACAACCCACACCTAGGATATTTCAAACATATATTAATAAAAATAACTAATAAGCTCTTCCTACCTTTTCCTAAGATTCAACACATTGTTTTCAAGTTAACATGAAGGAAAGTTTGTAGATTAAAAAAGAAGAGTAAGGTGGGTAAGCTTAGAAAGCCAGGCAAGGATGAAATAAGAAAAATTCCTACCTGCCCCACCAAAGAGTTAGAATTTATCTTGTAGGGGACAGAGATTCACCGAAGTATACTAAGCAGAAAAGTGACTCAATTAAATATGTATGTTAGTAAGATTATTCTGGCTGAGTTGTGAAGAGCAAATTAATTAGAAGAGGCTGTTATAATAAATAGGGTGAGACTAATATTAATTACAAATCCATGAGGCAGACATTATTAGCTCCATTATATAGATGAGTAAACTGCGGTACAGAAACACTAATTTACTCATTTTATTAAATAGCTGAAGCTGCCTGACTCTGTGATTATCTCATCATTATTAGGCAAATGGATAAATAAGAGGAGGAATGGGAAGAGGGTTGGGCATAAATTAGAGCGCTTCTTAGAGTTGATCCTGGCATGTAAATGTGAGAGTGTAGGTGAATGAGTGTGACTGGAGGTTGTAGGTCTGTTCTCCATAGGGAAAATGGAGCAAAACAGACTTTGGAAGAGAATCGCAACAGTTCAGTCTGTAACTATAGAGAGCACTGGGACAAGTGAAGGTGACCCTTGACAAAAGGCATAGAGGAAGTGGACTGATAAGGCGAGGAAAACTCTGAAAATAACACACTGAGGCCCTATCCAGATCTTCATTTCCCTGCCTTTGCCCCATACTCTCCCATCATCAGTAAATAGTGAATGGGGTTTGCAGTACTCTGGCTCCAGGGGAGCATGTTCGTCTTTGGTGGCCAGTGTAGACAGTAGGTACTTGATGTGTTGAGAAGTAGTGAGGCCCAAGAACTACTGTGAGCAGAGAAAAACAGCCAAAGCCCATTGCCAATGTGTCTTCATCACAGAGCCCTAGTTTTCCCAAGGGGACCCTAATTGTCTACTGAACACATCCTGCAAATCTCCTTTGAGCAGCTTTTTGGTTTCTTGATTTCTCCATTTTGGATTTTCTCTAAGTAAAGGTTCCAGTTATCTTTCCATTTGTGGTCATTGGTGTGGATTCAATTCTACTCATATATTTAGAGGCCAGCCATGGTTTTAAGAGTCTTCTATACTACTTACACACAG